TGCCCTATCCACTCCCAGCACTTCTTTCTGATTTCCTCCTCCAATGGAACTTGTATTAAAAATGATATTATCAATCGAATCGAATAATGGGCTCTTTCATTGCAGATTGCAAATCATAGGTTAATAAACACTTGCTAAAACTTAATCTGAAAAGATTTACTCCTGAAACAAATTTTAATCTGTCGAGGCTATATTTCATGGATAAAATAATCTTACTTACTTACTTACTTACGCCTGTTACACCCAATGGAGCATAGGCTGCCCACCATTTTTCTCCAGTCAACTCTGTCCCAGGATTCCCTTTCTAGTTCTGTCCAATGTTTGTTCATTCTTCTTATATCTTTCTCTATTTCTCGGCGTGGTGTGTTCCTTGGCCTTCCTCTTTTCCTTCAACCCCGAGGGTTTCAATTGAGTGCTTGTCTTGTGACGCATTTAGGTGCTTTTCGTAGTGTGTGTCCTATCCACTTTCACCGCTTCTTCCTGATTTCCTCCTCCTCTGGAATCTGTTTTGTTCTCTCCAACAGTACGTTGTTGCTGATCATGTCTGACCAACGAATCCGAAGTAATGTGCGAAGACAACTGTTAATAAACACTTGTATCTTCTGGATGATAGCTTTCGTAGTGGATGAACTAATCACCAGGCCTGAAATCCTATATCATAATCCACGATGCTAACAAACAGTACTATTGCATTGTACCTATTATCTGTTCAAATCTATTAAAGAACAATTCATATCACAGCATTGATCTTTAACTAATCTCACTTGATACATTTCCTTCACCAAAATCTAACTCACGATAACTGATTACCATGATCAATGTGTTCACATGACTCATATGACTAATATAATCATTTGATTGGTAAATACTTTTTTTTTTTAAAAAAAAAATCTGACCAATCAATAAAATCAATCGATCAATCATTGAACACAACCAAAAAAAAAACTAAACAACCATTTTTTCATCTGTTGCATGATTCATTAAAACAAAAAAAACAAACAAACTCAACTTGATTGAACTATCTATCGTATTTGTGTAACCTAAAATGTGGGAAATACATGCTTACTTATTGAATATCTCTTTAACACTATCTATATGTATACATAATATTTTAATGTTATACGATACAGTGTATAATTTGCCAATAAAATTAATTTCACGAGAATTAAATATTGAAATGGATGCAGTGTATCGTTTAAAAAGTTATCTATTTACAAAATTACCATTATTCTCTGGTGGTTCATTAATATGTACCTTTTATTGGATAGTTGTTTTAATTAATCGACCAAAATCTAATGATTCAAACGATGATGATGATGAAGATGATGATGATGATGAAGATGATGATGATGATGATGATGATGATGATGATGATGATGACGATGATGAGTATAATCATTATTATAAAAATAAAAATAAAAATAATAAAAATAAAAATAATAATAATAATAATAATAATAATAATAATAATAATAATAATAATAATAATAATAATAATAATAATGGTAAAATCAATCAAAATATGAACAATTTTTTAACAATTTTTTGGAATTTATTTATTCTACCTTATACACTGTTTGCATTACTCTTGAGTATTTATGCAATGATAGTAATGACTGATGAAATAGGATTTTTAAAAGAAGATATTTTAAATTATATGTATAAAGTATTTGATGAAATTGTATCAAAAAATACTACAGGTAAGTAGATGCATTTTATCAAACTATTTTGGTTTCTTCTTAATTTTTTCTGTGATTGTGATATGAGGTACTTATAAGTAGTAGTATATGATGTGAGTGTCAATGTAATGTCTGGCACAGCAGAAGATGGGGGGAAGATCAGGAAAGGAAGAGTTAGAAAACAATGGAATTTCTATGCAACGCATGAATAGTGAGTGACAATGGATTGATGTTTTGCAACAGGACCAGTCCAGTTCGATATGTGATGAACTGATATTTTGCAAATGAACGATTTACGATATGGTTTTTTGATTTTACTGAATAACTCTGTAATTTTCGTTAAATCCGATTCGGTTGCCCCCACCTGTGATCTCGTTCACTTCATCATGATTGTACTAATAATTGGATTGAAAAAAACTTGAAAATTGAACAATAGCATATTTTTTGGCGGGAATTTCTAAAGAAAAGCATGTACATTTATGATGAATTAATTAAGTAGGATAATTTAAAAACTCTGTACTGTTTCGGTGATAATGAAAATTTATTAGGCATACAGATTAGGAAGGATACTAGTTAGTGTTTGATGAATCCATGAACATATGATTGAATAGTTTGCGCCTAGTGAAATTATAACTGCTCTATTGCATTCTTTATAGTCAACAATGTTTGAAGAGAAAGAAAAAAAATCACACTGAAGACAGGAAAATGAACTACTTTGGGGCAGAGTTTTGGAGGTGTTTTGTGTGTTTTACACATTTTTGAAATCATCAATCAATCAGTCATTGTTAGACAGAGCACCATCAGAAACCTGGAAGCATTGAAAGACAGCCGTTTGGTCCTGGTATGGGACTCATCAGTGACAGTGCCCATCCACAACTCCTGCTCCTCGCGGGATTCGAACCCGGGACCTTCGGTATTGTGCGCGAACGCCTAACCATTGGACCACTGGGCCGGCATCTGACGGTGTTAATGTCTAACTCTGATTGATCTACGGATTTTGCGCGACCTCACCCATTTGTCTTTGGTAGTTACTACCTACACCCAACAGGGTTGGACTCTATTGGTCACGCATGTCTTCTCAACTAGAACTCCGAGAATTTCCTCCAAAACTCTACCCCAAAATATCGTAACAGTGCTCACTATTGACTAGCTTCGTGAGGAAATTTATTTCACTAATAAGTCTGTCAATAACTGCTTACTGAACTGTTCACACAAACTACTCCTCTTTGGAGATAGGTCATAGAAAAAATGCATGCTTTCTTTGGAAGTGTGATATCTCAGGGTCAAAATAATATTTGAATTTTTTGTTTGTTTAAGTAGTTAAAAACATTTTATTGGACATTTAAAACGCATCCTTATTGATGAAAGATTTTAGATTTGATTTAATTCGTTTTTTGAATTCTAAAATGTTTTACTATTATGCGGTTGTGGAGATTGTTGTTGAGTAGTTATTTACTTATGTGATGGTGGAGAAACGTTTTAGCTCAGCTGGATGATTGTGGTGGTGGTGTTTCGTTCTCTTAGCTGGATGTGGTTTGGTTGTGAAGTTTTCAGTGTTCTTCTTCTTCTTCTGAACAACATTGTCAGCACAAACTTCAGACAGCTGAAGTGAAGTATTCGAATTTCTTCACGTTTGACAAGTAGCTAGTTCTGCTAACCTCGATCTTGATTGGTTGCTGTTGACCTTAAACCTGTCGTTGTTTGCACCTTTGTTTTGATTGTATCCCCCTTTTTTGATCTGTTTCTTGATCCTATGTCCCCTATGATTTTTCTGATTAGTTGATGAATCGGCTCAATGTTGATGTGTTTGTTAATTGCTGATTGACCTGAGTGCCAAACTTCTAGAAATTCTCTAGTGTTCTTTATCATCCCCCTGTCAAGTATTTCCACATTGTCCCAATCGAATGTATGTCCATAATTATCGGTGTGTATTGATATAAGCGCAGAATCGCTGTGGTGTTTGACTGCTAATTGGTGTTCACGTAAATGAAGCTGAAGAGAACGTCCACTTTATCCTATGTAGTGTTGTTCACAGTCTGAGCAATTTATTTTGTAGATGATAACTGGTTTTTCTTCCTTTGTCATTTTGTCCTTTCGTCTACATAGGATTAATTGAAGTGACTCTGTTGGTTTGTATGCCACACCTATTCCAAATTGTTTCAGTAGTCCTGCTGTATGCTCCGATTTGTCTTTTGTGTATGTTAGGATGATCCGTTTATTGGTTCCTGTACTTGATTTCGCTTCTGTTGATGATTTCGGTTGATGTTTTTTGATGAAGTTGCGTGGATAACCGTTCTTTTGGGCTTTTACACGTTTTTGTGTGTTTCATATCTGTTGCAGTGTGTCTTCGCTCTAGTTGAACAACGTTTGTATGCAGCTGATTTTGTGAGTTCTTTGGTTGTTGGCTACCATAGTTGAGAATAACGTCCGTGTGTGTGTGTGTGTGTGTTGAGTTTCTTCTTTTCCTGTATTAGTTCTAGTGATTAGAATATCCAGGAATGATAGACCGTGGTGTTTGATTCCTTTTCCATGATGAATTTTATGTCATCGAAGATGTTGTTGTTACTTATTATGATAAAATCGTGTGAATCGATCAATGTCAGCCCGGGATTAGAAACCTGGAAGAAGCACTGAAAGACAACGACCCTTTTTTCATCCTAAAATGAGACTTGGATGTAAATTGTTTGTAAATTGTTTCTGCTGTCGTTCGCGCACAATCCCAAAGGTCCCAGGTTCAAATCCTGCGAGGTGTAGGAGTTGTGTGGATGTGCACTGCCACTGATGAGTCCCATATCAGGACGAAACGGCTGTCTTTCAGTGCTTCTTCCACGTTTCTAATTGGTGGTCTAACAATGATTGATTGGTTGATGATTTTAATTTGAATTAATATAATCTGAACAATCATCATCAATTATAATTTTTCCGGTTTTTTTTTTTACACTAACTAACTAGTTGAACGAACAGATAAACTTATTGATCATTTAGAACGATTACAATTTGCATTTACTTGTAATGGGATTGTACTTGAATTATACTATCGATTATTAGATAAATATTCTTTACCAGTACAATATTTGAAAATTTTCTATCATAGTCATAATCATACTCATAATAGTTCATCATTTTATCCATGGAATTTTACAGAACAAATTGAATATTTATTATTAAATAGTTCTGGACATGATCAAACTATACATAATCATTTGCGTAGATTACATCCACTACAGCATTGGAAAATGAATCAAGAAGCGCCGGAAATGAATTATTTCGATTTTGATTGTACCAAATCGATTACTTTACAATTAACTAGTGAATTAAACGCTATGGTATGGAATGTAAACCAATATTAACACTGCAATACATCCATACCATAGCGTTTAATTCACTAGTTAATTGTAAAGTAATCGATTTGGTACAATCAAAATCGAAATAATTCATTTCCGGCGCTTCTTGATTCATTTTCCAATGCTGTAGTGGATGTAATCTACGCAAATGATTATGTATAGTTTGATCATGTCCAGAACTATTTAATAATAAATATTCAATTTGTTCTGTAAAATTCCATGGATAAAATGATGAACTATTATGAGTATGATTATGACTATGATAGAAAATTTTCAAATATTGTACTGGTAAAGAATATTTATCTAATAATCGATAGTATAATTCAAGTACAATCCCATTACAAGTAAATGCAAATTGTAATCGTTCTAAATGATCAATAAGTTTATCTGTTCGTTCAACTAGTTAGTTAGTGTAAAAAAAAAAACCGGAAAAATTATAATTGATGATGATTGTTCAGATTATATTAATTCAAATTAAAATCATCAACCAATCAATCATTGTTAGACCACCAATTAGAAACGTGGAAGAAGCACTGAAAGACAGCCGTTTCGTCCTGATATGGGACTCATCAGTGGCAGTGCACATCCACACAACTCCTACACCTCGCAGGATTTGAACCTGGGACCTTTGGGATTGTGCGCGAACGACAGCAGAAACAATTTACAAACAATTTACATCCAAGTCTCATTTTAGGATGAAAAAAGGGTCGTTGTCTTTCAGTGCTTCTTCCAGGTTTCTAATCCCGGGCTGACATTGATCGATTCACACGATTTTATCATAATAAGTAACAACAACATCTTCGATGACATAAAATTCACCATGGAAAAGGAATCAAACACCACGGTCTATCATTCCTGGATATTCTAATCACTAGAACTAATACAGGAAAAGAAGAAACTCAACACACACACACACACACACGGACGTTATTCTCAACTATGGTAGCCAACAACCAAAGAACTCACAAAATCAGCTGCATACAAACGTTGTTCAACTAGAGCGAAGACACACTGCAACAGATATGAAACACACAAAAACGTGTAAAAGCCCAAAAGAACGGTTATCCACACAACTTCATCAAACAAAAAAAATCAACTGAAATCCTCAACAGAAGCGAAATCAAGTACAGGAACCAATAAACGGATCATCCTAACATACGTAAAAGACATATCGGAGCATACAGTATGACCACTGAAACTATTTGGAATAGGTGTGGTACACAAACCAACAGAATCACTTCAATCAATTTTTATGTAGACAAAAGGAAAAAATGACAAAGGAAGAAAAACTAAATATCATCTACAAAGTAAGCTGCTTAGACTGTGAAAAACACTCACTACATAGGACAAAGTGGACAGCCTCTTCAGCTTCATTTACGTGAACACCAATTAGCAGTCAAACACCACGACATCGCTTCGCTTATATCAATACACACCGACAATTATGGACATACATTCGATTGGGACAATGTGGAAATACTGGATAGGGGGAGGACAAAGAACACTAGAGAATTTTTAGAAGCTTGACACTCAGGTCAATCAGGAATCGACAAACACATCGACATTGACCCAATTTATCAACCAATCAGGAAAATCATAGGTGACATAGGATCAAGAAACAGATCAAAAAGGAGGATACAATCAAAATAAAGGTACAAACAACGACAGGTTTAATAAGGTCAACAGAAATCAATCAAGATAGAGGTTAACAGAACTAGCTACTTGTCAAACGTGAAGAAATTCGAATACTTCACTTCAGCTGTCTGAAGTTTGTGCTGACAATGTTGTTCAGAAGAAGAAGAAGAACACTGAAAACTTCACAACCAAACCACATCCAGCTAAGAGAACGAAACACCACCACCACAATCATCCAGCTGAGCTAAAACGTTTCTCCACCATCACATAAGTAAATAACTACTCAACAACAATCTCCACAACCGCATAATAGTAAAACATTTTAGAATTCAAAAAACGAATTAAATCAAATCTAAAATCTTTCATCAATAAGGATGCGTTTTAAATGTCCAATAAAATGTTTTTAACTACTTAAACAAACAAAAAATTCAAATATTATTTTGACCCTGAGATATCACACTTCCAAAGAAAGCATGCATTTTTTCTATGACCTATCTCCAAAGAGGAGTAGTTTGTGTGAACAGTTCAGTAAGCAGTTATTGACAGACTTATTAGTGAAATAAATTTCCTCACGAAGCTAGTCAATAGTGAGCACTGTTACGATATTTTGGGGTAGAGTTTTGGAGGAAATTCTCGGAGTTCTAGTTGAGAAGACATGCGTGACCAATAGAGTCCAACCCTGTTGGGTGTAGGTAGTAACTACCAAAGACAAATGGGTGAGGTCGCGCAAAATCCGTAGATCAATCAGAGTTAGACATTAACACCGTCAGATGCCGGCCCAGTGGTCCAATGGTTAGGCGTTCGCGCACAATACCGAAGGTCCCAGGTTGGAATCCCGCGAGGAGCAGGAGTTGTGGATGGGCACTGTCACTGATGAGTCCCATACCAGGACCAAACGGCTGTCTTTCAATGCTTCCAGGTTTCTGATGGTGCTCTGTCTAACAATGACTGATTGATTGATGATTTCAAAAATGTGTAAAACACACAAAACACCTCCAAAACTCTGCCCCAAAGTAGTTCATTTTCCTGTCTTCAGTGTGATTTTTTTTCTTTCTCTTCAAACATTGTTGACTATAAAGAATGCAATAGAGCAGTTATAATTTCACTAGGCGCAAACTATTCAATCATATGTTCATGGATTCATCAAACACTAACTAGTATCCTTCCTAATCTGTATGCCTAATAAATTTTCATTATCACCGAAACAGTACAGAGTTTTTAAATTATCCTACTTAATTAATTCATCATAAATGTACATGCTTTTCTTTAGAAATTCCCGCCAAAAAATATGCTATTGTTCAATTTTCAAGTTTTTTTCAATCCAATTATTAGTACAATCATGATGAAGTGAACGAGATCACAGGTGGGGGCAACCGAATCGGATTTAACGAAAATTACAGAGTTATTCAGTAAAATCAAAAAACCATATCGTAAATCGTTCATTTGCAAAATATCAGTTCATCACATATCGAACTGGACTGGTCCTGTTGCAAAACATCAATCCATTGTCACTCACTATTCATGCGTTGCATAGAAATTCCATTGTTTTCTAACTCTTCCTTTCCTGATCTTCCCCCCATCTTCTGCTGTGCCAGACATTACATTGACACTCACATCATATACTACTACTTATAAGTACCTCATATCACAATCACAGAAAAAATTAAGAAGAAACCAAAATAGTTTGATAAAATGCATCTACTTACCTGTAGTATTTTTTGATACAATTTCATCAAATACTTTATACATATAATTTAAAATATCTTCTTTTAAAAATCCTATTTCATCAGTCATTACTATCATTGCATAAATACTCAAGAGTAATGCAAACAGTGTATAAGGTAGAATAAATAAATTCCAAAAAATTGTTAAAAAATTGTTCATATTTTGATTGATTTTACCATTATTATTATCATTATTATTATTATTATTATTATTATTATTATTATTATTATTTTTATTATAATTATTATTTTTATTTTTATTATTTTTATTTTTATTTTTATAATAATGATTATACTCATCATCGTCATCATCATCATCATCATCGTCATCATCATCATCATCATCTTCATCATCATCATCATCTTCATCATCATCATCGTTTGAATCATTAGATTTTGGTCGATTAATTAAAACAACTATCCAATAAAAGGTACATATTAATGAACCACCAGAGAATAATGGTAATTTTGTAAATAGATAACTTTTTAAACGATACACTGCATCCATTTCAATATTTAATTCTCGTGAAATTAATTTTATTGGCAAATTATACACTGTATCGTATAACATTAAAATATTATGTATTATACATATAGATAGTGTTAAAGAGATATTCAATAAGTAAGCATGTATTTCCCACATTTTAGGTTACACAAATACGATAGATAGTTCAATCAAGTTGAGTTTGTTTGTTTTTTTTGTTTTAATGAATCATGCAACAGATGAAAAAATGGTTGTTTAGTTTTTTTTTTGGTTGTGTTCAATGATTGATCGATTGATTTTATTGATTGGTCAGATTTTTTTTTTAAAAAAAAAAAGTATTTACCAATCAAATGATTATATTAGTCATATGAGTCATGTGAACACATTGATCATGGTAATCAGTTATCGTGAGTTAGATTTTGGTGAAGGAAATGTATCAAGTGAGATTAGTTAAAGATCAATGCTGTGATATGAATTGTTCTTTAATAGATTTGAACAGATAATAGGTACAATGCAATAGTACTGTTTGTTAGCATCGTGGATTATGATATAGGATTTCAGGCCTGGTGATTAGTTCATCCACTACGAAAGCTATCATCCAGAAGATACAAGTGTTTATTAACAGTTGTCTTCGCACATTACTTCGGATTCGTTGGTCAGACATGATCAGCAACAACGTACTGTTGGAGAGAACAAAACAGATTCCAGAGGAGGAGGAAATCAGGAAGAAGCGGTGAAAGTGGATAGGACACACACTACGAAAAGCACCTAACTGCGTCACAAGACAAGCACTCAATTGAAACCCTCGGGGTTGAAGGAAAAGAGGAAGGCCAAGGAACACACCACGCCGAGAAATAGAGAAAGATATAAGAAGAATGAACAAACATTGGACAGAACTAGAAAGGGAATCCTGGGACAGAGTTGACTGGAGAAAAATGGTGGGCAGCCTATGCTCCATTGGGTGTAACGGGCGTAAGTAAGTAAGTAAGTAAGATTATTTTATCCATGAAATATAGCCTCGACAGATTAAAATTTGTTTCAGGAGTAAATCTTTTCAGATTAAGTTTTAGCAAGTGTTTATTAACCTATGATTTGCATTCTGCAATGAAAGAGCCCATTATTCGATTCGATTGATAATATCATTTTTAATACAGGTTCCATTGGAGGAGGAAATCAGAAAGAAGTGCTGGGAGTGGATAGGGCACACATTGAGGAAAGCACATAACTACGTCATAAGACAAGCACTTACTTGGAACCCTCTAGGCCAGAGGAAAATAGGAAGGCCAAGGAACACATTACACAGAGAAATGGAGACACATATAGGAAGAGTGTACAAAAATTGAACGGAACTGGAAAGGGAGTACTAGTTTAGTGAAGGAGAACACAGGTGAGGGCAACCGAATTGTATTTAACGAAAATTACAGTTACTCAGTAAAATAGGAAAACCATATCGTAAACCGTTCATGAACTGTTAGGATATTAATCAGATATCCTAAATGATAATTATTCTGTAAGTCTAATTCTATTGGTCAATTCCTATAGGTCGATTCCAACTGGTCGTCCTAACTGTATAAATATGGGTTATCTGTAACGTTTTCTGATCCGGACCCTTAGTCCGGGATCCATATCCTCTTCTGGACTCGGACCTAGTACTTTCTGCATTCTTTTAGAATACTGTTTCTACTTCATATCAAGTATTCTTCTATCTAATAGAGGTTTGGGACGCCAGGATTAGAGTAGCCTATCGTGTCGCCGGATCATTGATCGTCGCTCTCATTTACCAACCAGGATGAACTCGCAATAGTTCAAGCATATCAAAATGACCTGGTGACATGCATGCACGTTTCCACCAATTACAGTATCTTGTCAATCATATGAAAAAAAATTTCAGAAGTTTATTGATTTATTAAAAGCGCTACTAATAAGAAAATCTTAAAGATCACGGTAGCTTTTGTATAATTGCTTTTTTTTTTCAGGAAGGCACAACTACATCCAATCGTGCGCTACTGTTGAAAATTTGAATCACATTGGGTTACACGATTTCGACTGTTTTCATATTTCATGATGTGAATTATTTCTGCCAGGAGATGATAGAAAACCTGTACCGATGTTTTGAATAATCACGCAATTGTCGAGGCTTCAATAGAGATCATCATTGATAAAAGTGAGCAGATGATTTCTGAGAATGCACATTTTTTAGTTGAATACTGTCTGATTGGATGGAACTCGTGGTGTTTTTCTAATGCCAAGCAATATGCTTAGCCAGTATTTCACTGCTGGTCAAATTCATTCGATTGAGTTGTCATCTGGTAATAGTCAGAATAACTCAACACGATGTACACTTTCTTCGAATATTAAGTGTTTGGAGGTAATCGATTCCTTTGTCTTTCTCCTGGTGATCGACTGGATTATGAAAACGTCAACATCTGGAGAGAAGAACGGTATACAGTGGATGGCTAGGATGTAGCTGGGTGAGCTGGAGTTCTCAGATGATCTGTCTTTTCTATTGTACATGTATCAAAAAAATGCAAGAGAAGACTACCAGTGTAGCGACAGTTCGTGCAGCTGTAGGTCGCAACATACATAAAGGGAAAATTAAGACTCTTCGATACAACACAACATGTACTAACCACATCATACTTGATGGAGATGACTTAGAGGATGTGAAAACCATTACGTATCATGGCAGCCTTATAGATGAGCAAGGTGGATCGAATGGAAATTTGAAGGTGTGGAGCAGCGAAGCAAGGGCAGCATTTCTACGCTTGAACAACATCTGAAACTCAAAACAACAATCAATCAACACCAAAATGAGAATTTTCAATACAAAATGTCAAGACAGTCCTACTGTATGGAGCGAAAACTTGGAAGACCGTGAAAGCCATCATCCAGAAGATACAAGTATTTATGAACAGTTGACTGCGTAAAATATTTCGGATTAGTTGACCAGACACCATCAGTAATAACCTACTGTGACAGAGAACAAACCAGATTGCAGTGTAGGAGGAAATCAGGAAGAAGTGATGGAAGTGGATAGGACGCACATTGCGGAAGAAACCGAACTGTTTCAGAAGACAAGACCTGACTTGGAACATAGAAGGAAAAAGGAGAAGAGGAAGGTCAAGAAAATAGAGAAAGACATGAGAAGAATGAACTAAAACTGGAAAGAAGGTTGAGGACAGAGTAGGTTGGAGAATGCTAGTCGGCAGCCTATGCTCCATTGGGTATAACAGGTGTAAGTAACCGATAAAAAAAATCCTAAAGCTTATATCCATTTATTGCCCGAATGACCACTAATAGACAATAACTTTTGTCAGACCACCATTAGAAACCTCGAAGGACTGGACGGTCATTTCGTCCAGGTGTGGGATTCATCAACTCCCACTACTCACAGAATTCGAATACAGAGCCTTCGATCTAGCACGCGAACTCCTAACCTCTGAAACATGGAGCCAGCATCTAACGGTGCTAATGTCTAACTTCGATCAATTCACTACTGATGAGTCCCATACCAGGACGAAACTGTCGTCTTTCAGTGCTTCCAGGTTTCTAATGATGGTCTGACATTGATCGATTCATGACTTCAAAAAAAGTAACTTAACAATCTTCACAAAGCAAGGGCAGCATTTCTACAATCGAACAACATCTGGAACTCAAAACAACTATCAACTAACACCGAAGTCACAGTTTTCAATACAATTGTCAGGGAGGTTCTATTGTATGAAGAACTACCAAAGCTGTCATCCTCAAGATAATAGTGTTTATTAACAGTTGTCTAAGTGAAATACTTCATATCTGTTGGTTAGACACCATCAGCAACAACCTGATGCATCACATTACAAACCCGCACTTGGAATCCTCAAAGTCAAAGGCAAAGAGGAAGACCAAAGTACACACTGCATCGATAAATGGCGACAGACATGAAAAGAATGAACAAAAGTTGGATAGAACTGGAAAGGGAGGCGCAAGACAGAGTAGCTTCGAGAATAATGGTTGGTTGCCTATGGTTCATTGAGAGAGAGTAAGTAAGTGCATAAGTAAGTAAGTGCACAAGTAAGTAAGTAATTAAGTAAGTAAGTAAGTAAGTAAGTAAGTAGGTAAGTAAGTAGGTAAGTGCATAAGTAAGTAAGTAAGTAAGTAAGTAACTCAGTAAGTAAGTAAGTAAGTAAGTAAGTAAGTAAGTAAGTAAGTAAGTAAGTAAGTAAGTAAGTAAGTAAGTAAGTAAGTAAGTAAGTAAGTAAGTAGGTAAGTAAGTAAGTAGGTAAGTGCATAAGTAAGTAAGTAATTAAGTCAGCAAGTAAGTAAGTAAGTAAGTAAGTCAGCAAGTAAGTAAGTCAGCAGGTAAGTAGTTAAAGTAAAGTACTCGATTTTCAAAGATCAACATTGGAAAATATTTAAATGTGAAATCGGTCATTCTGTCTGAAAATCTCGTTATTTGTAGGAGGAAAGCTGTAGTCTGAATAAACCAGTAATAACGTTTCAAACTGTAGAACTGGGTGAACCACTATCCAAATAGTAGTTGAAACGCCAAACTGTTTTTTTCAACACGAGATTTTAGCCAATATATATTGTAGCAATGATTTCAAGATTTACTGTTGATTGTCTATATCTGTCTATATCTGGTCACTATTTCGTTTTATTTACAGCTTATTACATTTTAAGACAGTTTAACCATGACATTTCCAGAGATGCAATTGTAATCAGTCGTCAGCATCTGGAGAAACTTGACGATGATTACTCACACTTGTACTATGAATGGCGAGGAGATGATCGGTTTTTTTGTCAAAGAATCATTCATTAAAACTACGGCTTTGTGGGCCATCTCAATGAGAATTGCTCGTTATACTTCTTCCTATGTTGTGACATGGAAATGCGAATTTACAAACAGTACGTTAACCTCATGTTCTCATATGAACTGTTATATGAAATGATAGTTAACAATGACTGTGTTTTGTATTTGAGGATATTAGTTTAGCGATAATTCTGATAACAGACAAGACTGAAGACCATATCTGTTCCACTTCTCAACTCCTCAATACTTCATCACAGTTGATTGTCAGATAAAGCTTATGTCTGCACATACAGTTGGATTGGTGATATGAAAAGGTCTCCAGGTGCGACCGATATCATGTATTCATTCATTGTCATCGCACATTCTTAAACAAATAAATCACATTGTGGTGCGAGCTACTTATAAGTCGTATATGACGTGAGTGTCAACGTAATGTCTGGCAGCAGAAGATGGGGGAACATCAAGAAAGGAAGAGTTAGGACACAATGGAATTTGTATGAAACTCATGAACAGTGACAATGGATTGATGTTTTGCAACAGGAACAGTCCAGTTCGATATGATGGACTGATATTTTGCAAATGAACAATTTACGATATGGTTTTCCAATTTTACTGAGTAACTCTGTAATTTGAGGTAAATAAAATCCGGTTGCCCCACCTGTGTTCTCGTTCACTACAACATCAAACACAGCAAGCAAGTAGTAATCAGTCATCCGAAAGTAATTTCTTCAATCAAGTTAGAAGTGGGTTTGTTTAGGAATTGCTAAGGTGCTCTTATACCAAACGCTTACTGAATACATTGAAATCATGAATGAATGAATGAATGTTAGGTCAACATTAAAAACATGTAAGCACTGAATGGCTGTTTTGTCCAAATATGGAACTCATCACCAGTGCGCATTCACAACTTCCGGTACTTCTAGGAATAGAACATCAGGACCTTCAGTTTTGCGCATGTACGCTTAACCTCTGGACCACTAAGCCAACATTCAAAGGTGTTAATGCCTAACTCTGATCAATTTAGGAATTATGCGCAACATCACCCATTTGTCTTCGGTAGTTGCTGTCTACATCCGATAGGGTTCAACTCTACTGGTCACACATCCCAACGATCTCCATAATACTTTGTAAAGTGAAAACTACTGTTTACGTTGACTTGCACAACTGATTTTCCTTGCTGGTAAATGTAACAAAGTAATATTCTCACTTGCTTAGGTAATACTCAACTAGTCTGTCGTATTCTCCTAGTTGAAGAGTCGTTTACTTCTTCTACACAAATATTTCCAGCATATTTACATCAACAACTGAATGAAATCTTAAAAATACTTTCGTACAGAGAATTAACTTGACACTGAATTCATTTAGAATCATTTTTAGCGCGTACAATACCACCTGTATTACATAACTATTTTTTTCTAAGGCGTTGTGATCATAGACGACTATTACAGTGTCTTTTCAAACTGTTATTCATTCAGTCGATATAAGCCTATTCTCGGACAAGATGAAGAGGATGATTCATACCAGACAATGATCATTACATTTTCATTTCGACTGTTTTTTTCATTTTAACTAACTTGGTTAAACTCATTTAATCCAGAGTAGCATATCTGTAGTGAACGATAACACAGGTGAGGGCAACCGGATTGTATTTTTAACGAAAATTACAGAGTTACTCAGTAAAATCGGAAAACCATATGGTAAATTGTTCATTTGCAAAATATCAGTTCATCATATCGAACTGGACTGTTCCTGTTACAAAACATCAATCCATTGTCACTATTCATGCCTTTCACACAAATTGCATTGTTTTCTAACTCTTCCTTTCTTGATCTTCCCCCCATCTTCTGCTGCGCCAGACATTACGTTGACACTCATGTCATATACTACTTATAAGTAGCTCGCACCACAATCAGCTATCAATGGAACAGTCGATGAGATCGACTCTGTGTAATTCAACTAGTAGTTTTCACTGTTGACTTAGAGTTAGCATCTATTTCCATGTGAATTTTATGTTGTACATTACTCTCTAGATCCCCATCGGGTTGACTATTTCGTTTTACACATTAACGGAATGCATCAAGCAACTGTTTAATTGTGGATTGTGTGTGTCTAGATGAGCAGAGTGATTCGACCGATATGCAATTAGCAATCTCTCATTCTGTATTTCGCTAGTTCAGGTTTACATTTTCTGTTTCATGGACAATCTTCAATTTCTTCAGCTCTTAGTCTATCCGAATTGGCTAGAGACAGTGAGTGAACAGCCGACTTCGGTAAGCTTCAATAATAGATAGGTTGGTGAAATTAACGAAGTTGTCATCACGCCTTGTGTTTGTTCATAGAGTGAACAGCATCAATTCTACGATGCAAGTACATTCATCTGTCTATAGACAGGCCGGTTCGAAATAGGATGAAACGTATGTCCTGTGTTCTGCATGTTCACTTACTGCCTACCATGATCCCTTTATTTAAGATAATTCAGTCTATCGTCGAACGTTACAATTTCTGTCATTTTCCTGCTACACAATGTCAAGGTAATGAAGGTGAAATAAGTTAGGTATGAAGAGTTGATGAGTAGAGTATCGATCGAGTATCGAAATAAATTCAACATAGTATCACACAATACATTAACACAACTATTCGGCGTTCTATGCATGGTCGAATCGTGCAATTCATTCAATGATCAATGATTATCATGATTATCGTTTAAAACAAACTAAACCAAATACTGGGTTTATTCAATAAACACTGATATTTTCTACATAAACATTATTTGTCGTGTTCCAGTTAGATTCTGTGACTGAATCAAAATTACTTCAATGAGATTAAACATGATTTATTTTATTATAAGTTTGAATTTGAGAAAGAAATATGTTCACTGCACATACAGAATGTGAATTACATACTGAGTTACAGATATGCCCATGTATTCACAAATAAAAACAGCCTCAATACACATGGCAGCTTGTCATTATTACCGGTCATTATATTCACAATTGACACTGCTCACATAATGATAAGACTGTTGATGTAATAATGACTGACTACAGGGCACCAAAATAACGGACTACGAATGCCAGTAAAAGAATGATGGACAAGAGTAAAATAGGAAAATACAGAATTTTACAGGGAAATAATCAGAGATGAAAAGTAATGTGGATCTACAATGTATTACTGAAAACTTAGATGAATTTAATTTCAAGGACTGAAGTGCCATAGATCGATTGATCGATCGATCAACTGACTGACTGACTGATAGCATAATTCTCTGAGGCAAAATGAAGTTGTATTATACGACTGGTAGAGATAAATTCAAATTGCAGTTAGTCATAAAAGCAGGTGATTTATGTCGATTAATCGATCCATATCATAACGTTGCATTGTATGAAAGACTAGTAGAGATGAATGAATTCAAATTTGAAATTCACATTGATTGATTGTGAATGAATGTCAGGCGTCGGAAACATTGCACATCCATACGTGCTGAGCAACTGTTTTGAGTAAGTAAGTCTTGCTTCAAATTTCTTCATTCATGTGTTCATATGCTAGGGTTTTACTGACTGACGAAATCTCAGCACGGATACAGAAAGCTCGATTGGCTTTTGCCAACCTGCGTCATTTATAGCGTAGGCGTGATATCCGTTCGCTAACCAAAGGATGGGTGTACTGCGCAGCAGTTCGCTCCGTTTTCCTATATGGCTGTGAAACATGACCGTTAAGAGTAGAAGATATTCGTGGGTTTCTAGTATTCGATCATAGATGTCTTAGAAGCATTGCTCGTATATCGTGGGACAACCGAGTAAGCAATGCTGTAGTTAGGAAACGAGAACTAGGTAAGGATGGCAGATCAATAGATGAAGTATTGAAACTTCATCAGTTTAGGTGGTTGGGAACATGTGTTACGTATGCCTAACCACCGACTACCTCGTCGAGTTATGTTTTGTGGTGTAGGAGTAGGTTGGAAGAAAGATAGGGGCGGCCAAACCAAAACATGGCAGAAATGTATGAAATCACTGACAGGTGGACTGAGTCATGTTGGTAGATGTAGGCTGTCTGGATGGGGCAAGCGAGACGTAAGTCACCAATGGTTGGAGACCTTGAATGTGACATGGATCAAAATCGTTTGCAATGGCGCAAGTGCATCCATTTTTTGAGCTCTCTCAAATCCTGATCTTCTGGATTCGTCAGCATCCCTACCTTTGTCTTTCTCAACTTATCTTACTGAATTATACTTCTTGAATAATATCTTCAATGCCTAGTCTTCTTCATTACCATTAATACCTCTACTATTTTTATCACTATGTGATTTGATTTGACATTTGCGTCTTTGTGCTAATGTGGTATGACAACATGAACTTATGTACATGCGTACGTAGTTCTACGTTGCAACTGACTAACTGACTGACTGATCTTCCAATGATGTCGTTCTGTGTATTATTACTTATCGACTATGTTGAACGGTTTGCATAACGATGATTGGTGATGTGCTGTTGATAGACTTCATTTAGATAAACTGCACCATCGTCTGATTTTCACTGAGATTTCAACTGCTTCCCACCAAGTAGGTCAGTCATTGTAGCAAACATGACTATTGTTGAATATTGAAAACAGTTTCCATTGAAAGTGATTGCAACTGTAGAATCTCTCACCACTATCAAATATTTCCTTAGATTTTGATTAATGTCAGTCTGTGACAGCAACAGTCAAGCATATGAATATGCCATTTTCTACATAAAATCACTTAATCTGTAGACTACACTAGTCTTTTATTATCTTAACGTAATTAAGCTGACTATGAAGTGTACGTAGATTTATTGAAAGTCACCATTATTAACTTGAAATATCGTCAGAATTTCCAACGAGATACTTGACTGAACTTGGCAGAATATCAATCGATAGACAGAATGTCTAACTAAAAGAATTAGCTTCTAATAACGAAATCCGGTCATTTTAAGACGTGGGTCGGTGCCGTGGATAATAATTACTGAACAGCAAAGTTTAGATTTATCAATATGAAGTACATACTAGTTTATAAGTAGATAGATAGTTTGAAATTTTAGTGCACGTGTTCACCTTCACTATCATTATGAATATCCACTGGATTTAAGAGCATGTTGGAAGTGAGTGACAACAAACAGTCAACCAACCATCAAAATTTCAATGCTCATCATGTTTTGTTACAAATCGAATAATACAATGAACCTAAAACTACTCTGTCTATAAAATAAGAACAATAAAATCAACAGAGATTACTTTACTCCCATTCTTTTTTTTTTACAGTTCACTTAAACAACAATGATGCCTGAATCGACAAAAGAGCATTTATCTGCACAAATTCATGAAACCTGGTTGAAATGTATCGATTCTGGGGAAATGACATGGACAATGGAACAACAAGATGATTCGTTGACAGGTTTAGATTGGTTAATTGTAAGTATAATGAGAAAATTGCATGAATTGTATTCTATTATATTCTGTTTGAATAAAGTGGGAACAATATTGATTGATATTTGTACAGGGGAATGGGTTCGCGAACTTACCTAAAAAGAAACCAAAGAGCAACCGACCTATTCAACATAATAGTCTGGAGTGATTAGTTTAAGCTGAAGTGGTGAAAGGAGAATGGTGTGAAGTTTTACACGACGATGCAGTGTTAATCAGAAGTCGCCAATGGCGTTTTGAGTGAATGTCAGTGGGGTGTTTCACTCAACGTTGTAGGTCATATTGAAGAGCTAGTATGAATGAGTGAATGAATGATGAGTTTGTCATACTCGGTATGTGTGTGTACGTACAAAGGTCAGATGGGAAGTGATTGATGGCAGTGACCTCTGCAGAACGAAGCAAAAGTGGTTCACACTGGCTATTTAATATTTGCGACGCTTGTTGACACATGCACATTTATGTCCACTCACTATTATCCAATTAAAGCTTGACGATCTCACTTGTGAAAACTACACTTCCCCGTAGACATAAAATCGTTTACGGGAAATATGTTCGCGGAAAACCTTGTAGATAACGTTTCTTCCAGTCTTTCCTATGCATTTAGAGAGGTGACTTCAGAAGTGTATTAGTTTGATATTGAATGATTTGAGGAATATCCTATACGCCATGCATCTAAGATAGTGTAGTTGGGTTTCAGAGAAGCTTATCGTTTAAAGCAACTTGATAATGAATTCATTTAACTTTGATATACAAAGTTGCCCTTCTAACCCATATATACATATACTTCATCTTTCCTCTTTATACAACTAAATTTCTTGTCAGAATTTCAATCGAACTGTCAATATGATTTCATCATTAACTGCCATAACAAAAGAGCCAATCGGAACTGGAGCAATAACACAAGCGACAACAACAACAACAGCGGCAGTGAAGTCGAATGCATCAGCGCAGAATTCTTACGTCATACACCATCATCATCATCACCACCATCATCATCATCACCATCATCATCATCATCGTCATGGTGGTCGTCGTGACTCGCGACAACATCTTTCATCATAGTACATCGAAAATATGCTCCTGACACCAGTCAGGATTATTTCCTTTCTTATTGCTGCCACTGGAAAGCCTTCCGTTTTAACTGTTTCGCACCACTGAACGAACATGTATGCCGTTGAACAAAACAACACACAGTTAACAAGATGATTGACTGTTGAAACAATTGTACGTTGATTGGTGCATGTTTGTGTGGAAATGTGTGTGTATATGTGTGTGTATGTTTGTACAGATCTATTCCCCACAAGTCGCGTTAAATGGTGGCTTGATCCACTGATTGATGTGATCATCCTTTATCTTCTCCAATGTCTACGACAACTAGTTGAAGAACATTCAATCATATTTAACACAAACTCCATTGCATTGATTAGTGCTTTTCAAATACTTATTGTTTCACTGAACTCTACTATTATTCTAATGTTTTTCAAAATATTTTTTGCACAAACACACGTAGTTTGTAAGTAGTATTTTATTTATTAAAAACATCTTAAATATATATATTTATATTTTTAGAAATGAATTTCTCATTGAAATCAACTAGTTCCCCTGTCTTATTTAGCAATTGCGTTCTCTTAGTATGATTAAAATGAGGATAAGACGTGGCTATTGTTCTGAGACACTAGATTCTATGACTTTTATCGTCAGCCAGACAAATGTTTTAAACCATGAAGCCATTGAATAGTAGCTGTTTCATCTTCTGGTGAGACTCTCTATCCACACACACACTGCGATAACCCTATCAGTAAGTGTTGAACCTAGTGTTGTGGACGAAAACCCAGGTGAGGACATTACTGAGTTGTTAGGCATATATACAAAACCTTCCCGTGAAATTATCATTTGCAAACTAATCCTTATTTGTTTCAGATTTCAGTGTTTTTTTCATTTAGACTGTTCAGACTTCAGACTCCACTTTACCCTTAACTACAAATTGCCTTCTGTTCTCATTTTTTTTTCCTTCTCGATCTTTTACTGTCAGATTGATTGATTTCCGTTTGATATTATCATATACTACTTATGTGAATATAAGTAGCATACACCACACTAGGATCATCAAGTCTCATTATGAGTGTTCAGCCATCAGACCACCAAGTTCCCATGTAATAATGGTTTGCCTTTGGTTATCTTAGTTAGTCCACAATATCACATGATCATCATTGACCACCAATGTTTCATTCTCTTGATCATGCCTGCTCACTTGAATTCCAGTGGTCACCTGTTGGGGCGATTCATTAAGTAACAATATAATTGTAGTGAAGGAGAACATAGGTGAGGGCAACCGAATTGTATTTAACGAAAATTACAGAGTTACTCAGTAAAATAGGAAAACCATATCGTAAATGGTTAATTTGCAAATCTTCAATCCATCATCAATCCATTGTCTGACATTTCACTGTTCATGCGTTTCATACAAATTCCATTGTGTTCCCACTCTTCCTTTCTTGATCTTCCCCCATCTTCTGCTGCCAGACATTACGTTTACACTAGCGTCATATACTACTTATAAGTAGCGCGCACCACATAATGACCGTTGTTATGGGTAGTTATTTTGCAATGTATTTTTCACTTATTGATTTTCCCAACGCACCGGCTCTTATTTCCGGTCACTTCGTACGTTAACGTGCATGTGTAACAGAAACAGTATAAAATTATAGTTAGTACGAATAAAGAAAGTGTGTAGTACTTGTCATACTAGTGGGGATAAGAACGTTTTGATGACTTTCAGTTCATGTATACATATAGTATAGCTAATCCAGTGGTAACATTGATAAAGGTTTGTCATAAAGTGAGTGACCAATATATTTTTATTTAACTATTGGGGACGTTAGATTCCCGGAAATCGCTTGATAAATGTCTTATTTTGGATTTCACGTTTGCCAGCATGGACTGATCGATTGACCTTAAGATTCCACTTCCGACCAACAAAATCCTTGGTTGTGATTGGTTGCTGTGTATTTTAGTGTGCTATTTTTGTGACTGTCTCAAGGACGTTTCTGTGATGTATAAATAAACGTGATTTGTGTGCTTGATTGCATTGTGCTTGCTAGGCGTTTGTATGATATACTTTCTACGCTTATCAAGAGTTCTCTTTGACAGTTTGGGGATCAAGGTTCATTGTCTCGTTCGCGTTTATCGACTAAGGTGAACTCGTAATAGCTTCAAGCGTACCTAGTGACGAACCTAACATTAACATCCTTTAAAAAGATTGGCTAGTCAGAGTTGCAATGCTGTTTTATGAGGTATATCTTTTACAAAATCCATTTTCATGGAGAATTTAGTTTATAACTATGTACTCCTTCGTCTGCTCACTCACCAGTCCTCCTATCATCT